AAAAGTATATCCAGTCGACATACTGTACAATTTTCAGCTGCTTCTCTCATGGGTCTCTTAAAGCTCAAATTATATAAACTAATATTATAGATTGTAAAATTGGAAAATTTTGAGCCCTAAAGGGAATAGCTACCAGACATCAAAGTGATTTATGAAATAGATCACCTTGTAGAAATTCCCCAGTAGGAGCATGAGCGCTTTTAGATAACTTTTACATCCACACTCCAACAAGGGTGGGATATTTGGAGATTAAAAGCAGATTTGTGGGGCATGAGCTGAGGGTCCACTGGGAATATCACAAGGAGGTAGGTTGTGGGGTTTTTTCTTTTTTTCCCTCTGATTGCTAGAAAGAGGTACTTCAAGGAGACTTGGTGAGAATGTAATATGTGTCTTCTGAAGTTTTGGGGTGGTCATCAAAATAGTAATGAATCTAAAGACCAAGATATGAGCTAGTGGGCAGTTTATAGTCGAGCAAAGTAGCAGTGCTGTATTGGGATTCACCTATTTTCCCAGGGTTAGTTAGTTCCCTGGGAACAGATGTGGACCGTGCATGTGAGAGCACTGTCACGAGGCTGTCCAGGTCCTGTCCCATTAGGCTGCCCAGGGACTGAACTGGTTTCAGCAGATAGAAGCCAAAGCTGTCACTCAGAGCTGTGGCTGTCGTAAGTGATAAAGTGAGACAGTATGACTCATATCAAGTCCCCAGTGATTGGAGAAGGGGAAGCAAACACTGGTTGAGAATCAGCTTACATATATATCAGTTCTCTTATCTCAGTGACCATTTACCTCCTCTTATCCTACCTTTCCTCTTTCACTCCACTTCCATATTCCAGAGGTATTGGAACCAAGATTATTAAATGCTTAGAGAAGAAAGACCTGGGGTAAAAATATAGGATGCTCGCTCTAGCTGGTTTGGCTCACTGGATAGAGCGTCGGTCTGCGGACTGAAGGGTTCCGGGTTTTATTCCGGTCAAGGGCACATGCCCGGGTTGTGGGCTCGATCCCCAGTAGCAGGCATGCGGGAGGCAGCCAATCAATGATTCTGTCTCATCATTGATGTTTCTCTCTCTCTCTCCCTATTCCTTCCTCTCTGAAATCAATACAAATATATTTAAAAAAATATATAGGATGCTGTCATTGGTTGTTGGTTTCCACTTGCAGCAGATCCCAGCTGGGTATTTTAATTTACAAATTGAGAATATGTTTGGTGACTTAATGTAACTATAAGATTTTTTTAAAGCTCCAACTGATCAGGGTATATAGATAAGACCCTAGTTCATATTGGCTCAAAAGATGTTGCCTTAATATCCTGCAACCACTGTAACAAATGACCACAAACTGGGCGTCTTAGAACAAGAGGCATTTGTTTTCTCGCAGGTCTGGAGGCTACAAGTCCAAAAGAAAAATATCAACATGTTCTTTCTGAAAGCTCTAGGTCCTAGAATCTATTCTAGGAGATCCTCTGTTCCATTAATGTTCTCTTAGCTTCTGGGGTTGCTGCAATTCCTGGCATTCCGTGGCTTGCAGATGCATCCCTCTGATCTCTGCCCTCCTAATCACATGGTGAGCTCCCTCTGTCTCTTTGTCTTCACATGACACTCTCCTGTGTGTGTTTATATTTGTCTCATAAGGACATCAGTCATATTGGATTAAGAGTTTACCCTCCCCCATATAATGTCATCTTACATAATAATGACCTCTAGAAAGACTGTTTACAAATGAGATCCCATTCACAGGCACTAGGGTGGTACTTGAACATATCTGTTGAGGGAAACAGTTCAACCCACAGAGGTGTAATTCTACTTGGTGTCTGTACCCTGGAGTTAGGGGCCGTTGTTGGTGTGACTCAAAGTCACTTCCTAGTTTATTTCTAATTATGTGTGCCGCACTCTTTCACAATACACAGTATGAGTTTTGAGTCTGAAGCAGTGTTTCTTAATCATCCCTATCAGGGATGCAACTACTGGAGACACCTCTTTATATCTTGTCCATTTTCTTCCCAGTGATGCTACCAGTGTTTCTCTTCTTTAATGCCCTCAGAAACTTTCCTTTTAAATTTTGGTAGCAATCTGACTTAAACTTAATTTTATTTAAAGCCAGTTTGTTTACTGAACAGATATCTAGGTTAGGAACTCATAGGCACCATGAATAACGAAGTGTATGGATTTTTTATTAAGTTTTGGTTATGAATATGAGCTTAGCCACCAGGCTCCAGGGGGTTCTCAGCCCCAAATGCACATTAGAATCACCCAGGCAGCTTTAAAAAATACTGATATCCAACACCACCCTAGGAAATTAATTGGAGTCTCGGCATACAAATCAACCAAACCCTGGATCTGAAGGTATCAGTTGTCTGATAGGAACGTGCACCACTTTCCCCATCCATATAATGGGAGAAGCAGTATACCAATATGGTAGGACTATTGCAGAGATTAAACAAGCTAGCTCATGTGAAATGCTCATTAGCACGTGCTGGCTCCACAATAGACCATGTAGGTGGTGATTGCTGACACTGAGCTGTGGACAACAGCCTGATGTCATCGTGTAGGTGGGACACTCTCTCACGCTGGGCCGGGTAAATCAGAAGCCCATGCTTCAGCCCCAGTGTCCTCATGAGCACATCCAGAGAAGGCTTGAGGCACTCCGTGCATCTGCAGCAGCGCAGGGATGCACATCGTTAGGAAGACTTGAAAGATTTCCTTGATACTCGGTTAGACAGGAGGCCACCAATAACCGGTCTAAATGCCAAGACCCTGAGCACTCTTCAGTCCTGATTTTGTGACTGGTCTCCTCATCTGATGCTGCTGGCTGCTGCTCCCATGGGAACTCTCCTGACTTGGTTCCATGAAATAATGCTTTCCTGACCTCAGTCTGGAGGCTAGAAATCCAAGATCAGGGTGTGAATGCCGTCTGTGTTCTGGTGAGAACCCACTGCTGGGCTGCAGAATGCCCACTCTCCTTATATACTCACGTGGCAGAAACTGGCACTTTTATTAAAGGTTGAGGAGAAACACAGTGGGCACTGCAGGTCAGCCCCGTGATAAGCTGCTCGTCATGTTTTTGAACACTTCCAGTTCCTGTCCAATGCGTACACTTCCAGTTTCTCTAATGTATTGTCCAAGCTTCTTGGAAAGACATATCCCTACTTACCTACCTGTCAGATTTAGTCTTTCAGAGTCCCCTCTTGTGAACAGGACCGATTGTCAGCCAGTGAGTACAAGTTCAGCTGTCCTGATTAATCTTTTAAGATTATTTTTTAAACACCTCTTTCCTGATTGCAGAATATTCTTTCAATACTTCCTGTTGCTTCAACACATTATATATTGTTTCATGATGGTATTTTCGGCAATTCCTTGAAATAATTCTTTATAGATGTTTCCTTCACTAAACTATTTCTCTTAAGTCATTTTTATTTATTATGTTTTCTCTAAAGTCTGTTAGAAACCCTAGTTTGCAGGGTGTGTGTGTGTGTGTGGGGAGGGGGGGGTCACTAGGTGTTTTCAGAATTGGATTGAGTGTTCCCAAGGGTAGGAAATGGTCATTTGCTTTAAGTGAATCCTGAAATTTAGCACAATTTCTTGGAGAGCTTCTTTGAATTAAAATCCTCAGCAAAATTAAGGGGAGCCACTGCAGTGAAGTGGTTGGCAGCTTTCTCATCTTCCTGAAATGCTACTCAGTCTGTTCGCCTCACTTGTCCAAAGACCTTCATTTCCTTTGCCATCAGAGTCAGATTAAGCCGTAGGCAAATTAGGTACTGTCCAGTGTGAAATTTATTGGGGTGACATTGGTTAATAAAATTATTTAGGTTTCAAGTGGGGGAGCTAGTCAAGGGAAAAGGAGTCAAATTTATGGTAATGGAAGAAGATTTGACTTTGGGTCCACATATAATGCAAGATACAGATGATGCATATTTTTAAAAGGAGAATGATGATAAAAGGAGTCATAATGATGTTGATAATTATATTAGCTAACATTCATTAGTTCTATGTCCTTTATATATATTTATCTCATTTATTTACCCTATCAGCTCTATGGAGTAGAAATAATTGTTATTCCAGTATTACAGATGAAAAATGAAGGCTTACAGAGTTTAATTTACTTGCACAAGTTCACACAGCTAGTAAGATATGGTGATTGCATTTATATGACTATTCTTATAATGACTGTTATAGCCAATTAATCAGTGTTGCTTTTAACTGTTAACATTTCTTCAAATAACTTTCTTAAGGGGTGAATTTAAATGTCTCACCTATCTACACGACAGTCCTTTCTGGAAAGCTATTGCTCAGCCTTGAATTTCTTATCCTCCAATCTGCACATTCAGATAATGATGCAATAAAATCTTTTATGGGACACTCCTCAAGATTGCTATATGCTAAGGGAGGGAATAAGATATATTTTCATAACTTTTGACTTCTATAAAGTACTTTCCTCCTCACTGCAGCATGGAAAAGCTCTAAAATTGTATCTCATGAGGAGAGTAATCTGCAATTATTTACAGAAGGTTCTCACAATATCTCATTTTATCACTTTTGTGGAAAAACAGAATAGAAAACCAAACTTTCATGAATATTTAAAAACCCATACCCACTGGGGGAGGGAGGAAAGTAAGTTTAGATAATTGCAAATTCCATTTCAGTCAGTGGTACTCCAAGTAAATGTTCTGTCTCAATGTGGCTTACATCTGATCTTTTCACATGATGGAAGCTAATGTTTCTTCTTGCTCAAGTGAGAATCTTGTTCCCATGCGAGAAGACGGAGACAAGCAAAGAAGACTGGGCTGAGTATCTGCCACAGATACCCCTGTTCTGGGCTGCAGGGGCGAGGGGACCATTGGGGAAGTTATTTGGCATTTAAACAAGTGATTCCCATGGCAGCTGCTGAATATTTTGTTAAATGATTTTCTTCTCTGACCTTTATTACTAATGAATCTTCCTTAAGAAGCACTTAAAGAGTAAAAGGAAAGGTTGTTTTTATTAATCTCTTTTCTCTTTGCCCACAGAACCCAAAGAAATGGTGTTACCTGGCAAGAGATCTGCACTCTCTTATGAAAAATCAGACCAAGGTAATACTTATTGTGAATTGATATATTTTTAGTCTGTTTAACTCTGATACATTAAACTCGTTGGTTTCCTTGATTACTGGTTTTAGCTATTGAATATGTAATAGTAAATCATTATCTGAAAAGTAGAGGGAATGGTTTATAAGGAATACCATATTTATGAAATAACAGTAAAATTTTAAACATATTTTAGGTTATCAAAACATTGTGGATAATGGTCAATTTTCTGACACTACATTTATCATAATATATGAATAGGATCTTGACTAGGAGAATATGTTCTCTTTGTTTGGAAATAACTCCAATTAGTTTATTCACATTTACAATAAGAGAATTAGATTCTTGTCAGAGAACAGTGATAAGAATTTCCTTTTATTCAAGCATTAGTCAGATGGTTTTACATATTGCTTTTTGAATATGCAAAAAAATTTCAGTTAAAATTCCTCTCAAACTCTTGAGTTTTATGAAGACACCATCATACAAATCATATTTTCTTTGGAAAGACTGAATTATATCATACAGTTGTTGAATAGCATGCCTGATTATGCTTAACAGTTGCATATATAGTTGCTAAATTTTGAAATTGCTATGTGATTTATTTACATATGTTGGCTTAAAAAATATGAACACTTATACAAATATCCTAATGATATATATGGGTAAATAAAATGCAAGCTACAGATATACATGTGCATATTTTATGAATAAAGGTACTATCTAAAAGCATTTTTTTTCAGTAAGGTTTCTAAAAGGTTAGAACTGTGATGGGCATTATACCCATATATTCAATGAATGTTATCTATTTATAGAGCTATGAAGGTAGGATGTTACTGTATGTATATGCATAAGAGATTTATTGAAATGTATATTAGACTGTTTGGGTCTAATTGAAACTGATTGGGTTTTACTTTTGACAAATTGTCAAATTCCTGAAAACAAATGAGTGTTGAAACAAAGGTAGCATTTAAATTTAATGGACATCAGCAGAAAACTGGTTTCTGACCTTGAATTTGCAGTTGAGCAAAAATAAATTGTTAGGTTGAATTACAAATTGTGTGTTTGTACTTATTTCTGATTTCAGTTGATACTTCAAAGGAGATGTAAATCCCTTAAGGAAGCAACTTCTCTCTCCTAAAGGCGGTTTGGAATTGTAGGCACTCTATTCAAGTTTTAGCTATACTAAAATTTTAATGGAATCTATAAAGTATTCTTAAATAGTTAGTGACATCAATGGAGAGCTGCATTTTGCATAGCACTATTAACTGTGACTCCCCACAGAGAGACATTGCAATGAGCACTGATACCTAGACTGTATGTGGAAGATGTTGACACTGAGTTATGTGATGTAGACATAGGAGATAAGTAGTAGATCAGTGCTTGTTGAGGGGAAATTGATGGGCGATGACATAGTAAGAGAGAGAAAGAAAGACATGGAATGAGTTGAAGCCAGTGGGGAGGTTCAAGGATCCATGCCCATTAGGATAAAAGGATAAAAGGAGCACAGACTATCCAGGATTCATTCCTGTGAAATTATTTTTTCAGAGATATGTACATGTTCATGTACATACAAATGTACATATGCATCTGTTTTTTTATTAGGCTTTTGTTTGTTTAAGACATGAAAACACTTTGAATTGAATGTAGGAAAGGGAAAGTTGGGTGGGAAGGGGAAATTTCCATTAAATGAGTAGGATTTCTAGCATTGTGTACCCAGAGTATAATATGTGTTTCCTCCCATCATGAGAATAAAGGGACAGTTCTGTATTTTGCCAGAATCCGAGTGCTTTTGGTCTGATAAAACTCCCGAAGGGACGATGTTCTAGGACCTGTGTGTTTGTGCAAATGCTGGGAGTAGAGTGTGGAGGAGTGACCTGGGATGGGAGAAATGATGTTTATGTTGTCATGTCTCTAAACTGGTCATTTGGATTCCATGAAATAGGGGTGTTTGCAATCTTATAAACAGTTTCCGTTAGACAATGAATGCTAATGAGCTGATGCCGTGTCTCTAGTATCTTAGATGGAATATTTATGTTTCATTCTATATAATAAAAGCCTAAGCAACCATTATGGTGGAACGACCAGAACGACTGGTTGCTATGATGTGCACTTACCACCAGGGAGCAGACGCTCAATGCAGGAGCTGCCCCCTGGTGGTCAGTGCGCTCCCACAGGGGGAGCACCACTCAGCCAGAAGCCGGGCTCACGGCTGGTGAGCACAGCAGTGGTGGCCTCTCCTGCCTCTGTGGCAGTGCTAAGGAGCAGTGAGCCGAGTGGTAAGGAGTAGCAAGCAGGTAGGCGGTAAGGAGTGATGGGTCCCAGGCTTGGCTGAGGGAAACCCCTCCACCCCATACCAGTGCAAGAATTTCATGCACCGGGCCTCTAGTGTTTAAATAAAAGACTATTCAGGTGTATTAGTGATGGTGCTATTTTTAGGGACTGGTCAGTTTTCTCAGTTTCACATGAGGGCTAACCCACTCCTTTTGTGTAGGATTAACTCTGGCAATAGAGCTCAGAGGGCAACCTATTGGATTAGCGAGCATGCTTGGGTATAAGGATACCTGAAAGTTCTACATTCAACCCTTTTAAAAGGGGCATTTAAATAGCTCTTCATATTATATATTATTATGTGAAGTTATTTATGTAATTTAGTGACAATATTCTTAATTTTGTCATCCAGAGAGAGGCAACTTTAACTAGTCAGGACTGAATATCCTTCTATATAGCTAGTGTGATTATGTAAAAAAAAAAATAGACACCATTATTCTGTTTCATTTTTATATAGGTTTATATGTCCTGAAAATAAATTGAATTTCAATTAAGAAAATGTCATGCCTGAAATTTATTTTTATTATGCAGGAATGTTAAATTTTATTCTTAAATATATCTGACTTTTTCTGTAGGAAATTATAATTGTAATATCAATCCTTAATTTATATTAAAGATGCAGTAATTTTTTAATGTACTTTAGGTTGAAATCTAAGTTTAATATAAACACAATTTTGAGAATTGGAAACAAACTGTCATAAGGCTAGTATATAGGGTTATTTATGTTCAAGAGCACTAAAACTAAGTTATAAAGATATAAGAGATTTGTTTAGAGATTTGTTTCATCGTGTTTATTATTACTGGCTGTAGAAAATGTTGTGGTAATAATGCTTGTTGAGATTTAGTTGAGACTTAAAAGGATCAAAATCTTCTGATATTTTAAGAGCTTACCACAAATTATATTGTATATTATTTATTACATACATACTGCAACATAATAATGAAAGTAAAGCCTCAAAACTTGCAGGTTGATTAATAAGTTAATAACCATGAATTTAAATGAGCATTAGAAGCATTTCTATGGCACGTGATAAAAATAGTGATGTAATTGTCACATTGTCTGAATTAGATTACATGTAAGACATATACAATGCTTTGCAGAAATATGGCTACAACATCAGGCCAAACATGCTCCCAAAGAGAATTTAAACTGAAAATAAGGAAATAAAACATTGAAACATTTTCATGGAGATGTGATTAAAAAGTAATTTTTAAAGACAAATTTACATGAGAGTTATTATGATAATTTTTATGAATTTGCCTTTTTGGTTCTCATGATTTTTGTTATTTGCAAAAGTGCTCATCAGCCTTTACTCTTCTGAGTATTAGATTCTGTGGGATACTTCACTTTCTTAAAACTTAAAAAACACTCCCAAGACTATAAGTTATAGCATTGTCTATGATCAACTCCTGCTAATATTTAAATTTTTCCATCGATTCTCAACCTGTGTTACTTACCCTATTTTTTTAATCTCCTACTCCATAACAGACCCTACACATTTTTGTCTTTTTCTTATGCTGAAAACTCCACTCTGAATACCCGATCTTCTTTCCCCCATATTCCAAAGTCTACATATAACCAGAAAATTTCTCTTTACAGAATCTTCTGAATTCCTCATTATACAATATCAATTTCTCTCCCTTAATCTATATTCACTCGGTATGGTTGCCTAGTATCTATCACACTGATTTGCATATAATGCTATGTAATAGTTCTTATGTGTGCATGTATGTGTTGAGATTTAGTTGAGACATATATACACAGTTTTTTTATTATATGTAAAAGTACACATGCAGATATGAGATCTTTGTCCCCTTCAACATGATTAAAGTAGATCCATCTGTCACCCACTATTACCCCCACTTGTAAGTGAAGTAGATAAATTGAAATGAATGAGCTCCTTTCATTTCGAGGATTTCCATTGAAGGAATATTTAAAAGGCTAAAACATTCCTTACTATGAGAGTTATAATTTTGCTATGCTTTGTAATTAGGAATACCTTGAGAATCTACTTTCCCTTTATGGTTCTTCAATGAGAATAAAACCAATATTCAATATTCAAATATACTAATATATAAAGCAAATAATTTTCAACTATTGAAACATACTCTCTTCACCAAAGAGAGATTGCCTAATTGTATTCCCCATTGGCTTTGTTCCACTTTGCACATGTCATTGGAGAAACATCTAACTTGAGCTACACAACAAAGGCACTTTTGCCGAAAGCCAACAAAGCCTTTTGAGGATATTGCTTATCTAACATCAGGATCAATAGAAAAAGTATATTGTCATTCGCTACGTCATCCATTTATTCATTCATCTATCAGTTCATTGTTTACCTACTACCTTCACAAGTGTTCTAGCTGGAGTGGAAGTACATGCAGAATTTGAGAGTCTCTTATTCTGTGCACGCGCATACACCATACACAACGGCATACAGAGGGTACAAAATATATCCTTTTAGCCCTGGATGGTATGGCTTAGTTGGTTGGAGCGTTGCGCCATACACCAAAAAGTTGGAGCTTTGATTCCCGGTCAGGGCACATACCTAGGTTGCAGGTTTGATCCTTGGTCAACTGGTCAATGTTTTTCTCTCTTTTCCTTCCTCTCTTTCTCAAATCAATAAAAACATATCATTGGATAAAAAAACGTCCTTTCACATGCTTGTAGAAGCTAT